CATCTCCATCACATTTCCAGATATGCTAAGCTCTTCCTCTCCAAGGGTGACCATGCTGATGCATTTGAGGGGTGAGGATAAATGGTGTGTGGGTGGATGTGATGACATGCCCAATGCCCAGGAAGGAGGTGTCGCCATGGGTCTTTTTTAGAATGGTGAGGTCCTGATTGGAGTGGCGTGTGCAGGAAGAAGAGTGTCCAGGCAGGGTGCTAAGAGGATGATGGAAGAACTCCATCGCACTGACAGCTTGATACAGGACTCCTGAGGAAGAAAGTGGGCTTCTGATTTAGAGGCAGAAAATAGTGACTGGCAAGTCAGTTCTTAGTTGAGGAACTCTGCTGCCATCTGAAAATGTTCACAACATAGCATCTGGGGGCTACATTTTTCTCAGTTTCTACTTATTTGGAAAATGTGTTGGGGGTATCAAGATCCTCCATCCGTCACTTGGTTTATTCTCCAAGTGTTGGAGCAGTATAGGCTGGGACCCAGAACCCAAAGCCTAATCTACGTGGTAGAAACCCAACCAAGTACGTGACCCATGATCTGTTTCCTCCCAGGATGTTTAGAGAAGGAATTTGGGTCAGAAGCAGAGCTGGAACTGCAACCAGGTACTCTGCTCTGGAGTTTAATTGTCCCCAAGTGTATCTTAACCTTTGCACCAAGTGCCTACTCTCAGAATATACTCTACATGGGGAAAAGGTTAAGAACAGGTAACCCTGGAAAATGAAGTTCACAGAAATGGGTATTTGGCCTACTGGTAAAATGTGCCAGTTAGACTTGCATCCATTATTGGGATACTTGGATTAAATTCCATCTCTGTGCCAATGCAGACCCTGGGACAGCAATGATGGCTACAATAGTTGGGTCACCACCACTCAGAGGGGAGAGCTGAATTAAGTTCCCAGCTACCTTCCCATCCGACTCACAGCTTATCTGGGGAATAAACTTGTCTTTGGGATTGCTTTCTCTGCCTTTTGAGTAAATGTGTGGTCGGGGTGAGAGTGGGGAGATGTGACTTCTAAAAACCTCATGGTCTGGGTCCGGCACCATGGCCTAGTGGCTAAAGTCCTCACCTTGAATGCACCGGGATCCCATATGGGCACAGGTTCTAATCCTGGCAGCTCCACTTCCCTTCCAGCTCCCTGCTTGTGGCCTGGGAAAGCAGTCGAGGATGGCCCAAAGCATTGGGACCCTGCACCCACATGGGAGACCTGGAAGAAACTCCAGGCTCCTGGCTTTGGACTGGCTCAGTTCCAGCTGTTGCAGCTGCTTGGGGAGTGAACCATTGGACCAAAGATCTTCCTCTCTGTCTCTCTTCCTCTCTGTATATTTGCCTTTCCAATACAAATGAATAAATTTTTAAAACAAACAAAAAACTTCAGCTATGTGAATTACACAGGGCAAGTGCTGGGGAAGGGCACACCAGATGTCATTCTGGAACTTTGCATTAGACATTAGCCAGATTTAATAAAGCATGCTTTTGTAGGCTAAGTGGTTGTCAAGCTGGGGCGAGAACACAAATGCATAGTTAATCTCCATGGAGTAATAGGAAATGAGTTTTCATCAGATGCTTTTCTTAGGTCAGTTATCTCCATTCCACTTCTTATGGCTCAGGAAAATTCACTGCATTTTCCAATTACCTGTTAGGAGAACAAGAGGGCAAGAAATAGGAGGAGGGCAGCAGAGGACTTCACATGAAGTTGTGACTTTGGGAAGTCGGGTTCCTCACTGGCCCCTGTGCTGTCACTTCCTCTAGTTTCTACTGAACAGGTGAGGCTGTGTGGGTGAAAAGAGTGGAATATGATTCATTGACAACTCCTCCCCTGCTGTTCTTAACTATACAGGAAAAAGTCCTTGTGGGAGAGGCTGGAGGAAAGTGGGTTGCATACTGGCTATTCAAAGGGATGGTAAGGAAACGTAATCAGCTACTCCTGAGTGTCTGGGTTCCGACAGAGATGGGTCAGAAGTCGGAGCTACTCCAGCTGACAGATCCTTTCCACTGTTCACCCTGACTTCTTGCAATGCCACGTTTCCCCATTTTGGCTTGCAACCTGTGGGCTTCTATTATGTCATCATCCTAGTCAACCTTCCCCTCCTTTCAGAAGTTCTAAGACTCGTTAGGTGTTTGCCTGCCGTACCTTGGCTCTGGAGATCAAGGCCATTGGCATGCAGCTGTTCTGGGGCTCTGAAGATGCTGAGCCTGGGAGAATACTGACAGTCCTGAAGATGCTGCTTGTTTTTCCTTGAGTGTGCACAAGGCCCGAGGGAGGGGCTGGTCTCAACATCCCAGCAGGTGGTGCCTGTCTTTCTCAATTGCATCAGGCAGGGCTCTGTTCTTCACACTGCAGACCCTTTTGAAAAGGAAAAAACAAAGGCACCTGGCTGGAAGTAGGCCCGCTTTGAAACAGATGCAGCAGTAGTAACGGTACAATACAATATGCTTTGCAAATAGGAGACTCCATACTCTTTTTCTCTTGGGACAAATCTGAAAATGTCAGTCAGTAGGAAAACCAAGGACTGAGAGCAAAAGCCAGGAAAACTACCTGACCAGTTTCTAACTAGCTCAGGTTTGGCTTCAGTATTGTTAGGTGTCAGTACACAAAGAGTTGTCATCATGTAAGTTCTTGTTGGTATCACCAATAGCAGACATGTGTCTGCTGTCTACCTGTGGTGTGATAGTTAGGTTAGAATCTCTGTGGCCATTAGCGGAAAGACTCAATTTGAAAAATGTTTCTGTACTGAGTAAACAGCATTATCCTGCATTTTTTATTTCTATTGACTGGGTAATATGAAAAGCTAGTTGCACTGAGCTGTTGTCACATCATGAATGAGAAGCTCTGAGACAGGAAGACGGAGCCCCGGGGTTGAGGATTGCTACGAAAGGCTTATTCTGCAGCCCTGGGCATCTCCATCAGAAGAGTGAGATGATGTATTCTGTGCTGAGTATGACAGACACCTTGTCTTCTGCCTGGTGGTTTGGAATCCTGCAGAGAGGTATGGAAAACATCCTTTAAAGAAAGGCAAACTTACAGAGAAAGGGGAAAGAGAGGATAAGAGTGAGAATCAATCTTTGATCCACTGGTTCACTCCCCAAATGGCTGCATCAGCCAGGGCTGAGCCAATCCGAAACCTGGAGCCATGGGCATTTTCAGGTCTCCCCAAGATAGGTGCAAGGGCTTAAGGACTAGGGCCATCCCCTGCTGCTTTCCCAGGCCATAGCAGGGAGCTGGACCTGACGTGGAGTAGCTGGGACATGAACTGGCACCCATGTGGTATTCTGCTGATGTAGTGGAAGATTAGCTTGCTATGGCAGCATGCCAACCTTGGGAGTATTTTTTAAGCAAAAAGGTCATCACAATTCTTGAACCTTGAGATGAAGCTCTCAAAGTTTTGTCACAAAAGTCCTCAGAAATAGGGATTTAAAGACCCGTCACACAAAAAAGCAAACCCAGAAAGTTAAAATAATCAAGCTGTGGTTACACAGCCTGCAACAGTGTTTGGATGTTGTCTGATCCGTGCTCTTCTTTCTACTGACTCTGTCAAAGTAGTTACCACATTTCAGCCAGACCCACCCATATACACTCATGAAGCCTTCCAAAGGGACTTCAAGAAATTGGCATAAAGTAAAATCAAAATACAAATTTATCTTGTGAAAGCACCAAATGTATACATATAAGGAATAAAAAAAATTCATGGAAAGAAAAAACACTGAAAATACCACGCCTGGATTAAGGTTTTTTTTTTTTTTGCACCGCCCCCCCCCCCCAAAAAAAAAACTTCCATCTTCATGGATTCTTGGAAGTGGCTTTATGCACATGCATGTAAAGTAACAAACTGTTGGAAAAAACAGCCCTCAATTTTCCTCTTACAAAATGAGGACACATCCAGCATATCACTCAGTACTTCCCAATAAGATACTTAGTGATTTCAAGCAACCTGGCTCCCTAGAGTGATGTGGCTTTTAAGCTAATTCTGCAGCAGCTGGATACAAAGGGTAATGTTCAGCTAAGTGTCTTAACATCCTGACATCCTCAGCCCATGTGCTCAGAATTGGACAATAAGTCTCCTGACGCAATTCCTATTTGAGTGGTTCACACGCAGGGTTTCTCAGAACACATCACAACACTGCTTGCAGGACAGCTGCGTCCTGTTCCACTCATGAGGAAATCATTTCAGAACTGAAAAGTCTACCAGTTCCTTTCATCAGTATTCCAAAAAGTGTTTTGCCCAGGAAAGCAATGGTTTAGGCGCTTGTGTTTGATCTGTTCTGCTTTGAGCAGTGAGAGGTTACCATCTGGGAAAGGATGGGTAATTAGATTCCAAGTTGCTAATGGGGCTGAGGGCAGAAGGGATATTCCAGTGTATTTCACTTGGCCATCTTTTGTTTTCTTGATGCTTCTCATCAATGCTCAAAGCTTGGCACAAGATGCTACTTAAAAGTTTTGTTGTACTTTTCCCCATTCTCTCAGAAAACACTTGTGCTGGAGAGAGAACTAATGAACTGGTGGTCTCTAGAAGTGAGACGAGGTGGTGGGAGCTACGATCTGCCTCCCACTGCCATAGCACACAGTGCACAGTCTAGTGTGGTAGACACCTGTCATCTTGGAGCATGGTCTTGATTGTTCTATAGAACAACTGGTAACTTAAATTGTACTTTGTTTTGGTGGAGATGGGAGTTCCTACCGAATCAGTAAATTGATTGCTAGCTGCTGGCCCACACAGTGTCTGCTCAAATATGGGATTTTTAGAATACTAAGACTTTCTGTATCATATTTCTCAATAGGGACAACTCTACTATTAACATCTTCCTTAAGTCAAACTATCTAAATCTGAAATTTTTCATCACTCATCCATTTGGAATTAAGTTCAGGGAGTCTTAAAACTTCAGGAAAGTAGGAACTCATTCATCAAATACCTTTTAGACATCCGTAGTCAGTAAGCACTGTTGCAGCAGTTGGAAATCTATGTAAAATACACGCACAGACCAAATGATGCCACTGTTGTTTCATACTGTTTATTTATTAAGTTATTAATATGGACAATCTATTATGTAACTTTACAGATGTCTTTCAAAACCTATAGTAAAATATAGTCCACTCTCCAGTCCAGGAGAAAAACAACAAACAAGATTCTTACAGTAAGTGTAGCATAAGCACTCACATTAGTTCCTTATTTGGATATCAAAGGGAACAATAAGTCAAGATTTACCTCCTTTAGGGTCGGACCTTCCCTGAATTGTTTTCGTAGAGTCCTAAGTCCAACTTGGTGCTCCTGTGGACAGGAGCAGCTTCTCCTGTTGGAAGGCTGGGATGCCTTTCACTTCCTGGGCAGCCTGTGCTATTGTCCTTTTCTTCCACACTGGAGCCATTTTGCTTTTTAGGTCGAGAGTGGTCAAACTTGGGTACAGGGAGAAGGCAGGTAGGTCACACGATGCTTTAATTTACAAAGACTGCATTTTAAAGCTCTTAAAAACCCATTTTGGTGGTGGTAGTGGCAGTGAAGATTATACTCTATTTTGCCCAGGGAGTCTTCCCATCTCTTGGGTCTTTGCTTTCTTACAATTACTTGCTTCTAAATGGAAGAGTGGAAGTGGACACTTAACAATGACAGATATGAGACCAGCAGTGGAATGAACTGGACTGGCTACTATGGCTTTTAAAACTTGCCTTTTTTTTTTTTTTAGTTTAAACAAGTTTATTTGTTCATCTTTCCTCCTTGCTAGTCCTAATAAGATTAAAAGGACCAAGATAAAACTTCTCACTTGCAAACTGAATGAACAGCAGCACACACACACACACAAATCCATTTTTCAGTGAGCTACACTTTCACCTGAAGACTAGTACCAAGTGAGTTTTAAAGACAAGTGCTTGACAATGCTGATTAACTGATGGAAGAAGATACTGAGTTGAGACTGCACATGTACCAGAATCTAAAATATAGGTAGTAACTGAATGCTCCAGTGTTAGAGGTTCTTCAACTCCTAGTTTCATGTTGATGTTGAAAACCTTTGTAATTTTCAGAGTATTAAGACAGCCAACGAAATGGCATCAGAAACCTTAGTATGTCTTGCCAAGTTTTTGGCTATTTCAGTTGCCTATTGCTAGGAGAAAGGAGAAATCATAGGGTAAAGATTGAGAGCACTGGAATTTTATTCAATGCTAGGTACCAGGGGTTTGACATTTGTAGGTAAGATTAATGAGTGTACAGCCATACAATTTTTTTGGTCACTGTGCTTCCGAAAGCACCAAAAAAATGGAGCTATTTATACTATTCAATTTCATCTTAATTAGCTAGACAGGTCCTGCTGCATTCTTGGTTTCTAATTTACCAGTACAGTATTATGTAGCTTACTGCAAGTGAGGAGCAAGTCATCATGTAGTACCAAGTTTATATCATCATAGGTTTGCAACATGCACATTCTAGTTAATGTAGTTCAAGCAACAGGAGTACAAGAGAACCATATTATGGGTGGAGACTTGTTTGACAAAGCCGTGTTCACACTAACTATGTGTTTAGAAATCTTACTAGGCATGTACCTACAGCAGTTCTTCCATTGGTATGGGAACGTTACACGCATGCACAAGTGATATGGTAGAGAATGAAGAGGAGGGCAGCTGGACAGAGGACTAGAGGGGATCTCAGAGATAGGATGATGGTGCACGTCTCAGCTTTCCACAGTCAGTCTCTGCTCTGTAAGCGAGGCCTGTTGGGCAACACTCTTGTTCTCATGACCACGAAGTTTGGATACAACATCTAGGAAAGCCAAATCTTCAACTTCCTTGTGTAGAGACTCTGAAAGACAAAAAACATGGCATGTATGTTCCTGTATTCCATGTATTGTCCTATCTTTCATGCTACTGAAGACATATGCTCAAAATGTTTTTGATACAATTCTAGAGAAAGACACATAGCACTAGCTAAGCAGTGTTTTAAAGAAAGTCAGAAAACTTGGTATACTTTTATAAAGATACATCTGATATCTAGTTCTGTAGTCTAAGGTTGATTAGGATAATGAGTTATACACAGTTCTTTGTAGGACTTCATGTGTCAGTTATATACCACTTAAACCCTGTCAAGAGTTCAAATAGGAAAATCAATGACTTCTTGAAGAATCTTTATCTGTTTCAAATTAGTTATGGCAAATAAAAAGCTTATACTTCATATCCTTTCTACGAATTTCTGTGGCACTAGTCTCAAACTTCCCATCCTTCTCTTTTTGGCTTTCTTGTCCCATTTAGTTTAAATTCTAGGAAGTTACAGTAGTCTCCTAAAGATTAACACTGCACAGGAAGAGTGAAGTTCAACATTTAATATAGTCAACACTTTTCAAACGCATGTGTTTAACAGGATGACACATAAAATTAGAACCAACATTCTACCACAGGACAGCAGGTCAACCACAGCTTGAGACTCTTAAATCCTGGATTGGACTGTCTGGGATACAATCCCACCTCCACTCCCAATCCAGCTACTTGAAACTGTACACACCAGGATGCAGCACACAATGGCCCATGTACTTGGGTTCTGCCACCTATGCGGGAAATCTGGCGAGCTCTGGATGTTTCAGGCATGTGAGGAGTGACCCAGCTGATGTAAACCTGTTAACATCCATTCCACCCCCAGTGTCTATTTCTCTGCTTTCCCAATATAACAAAAGGGAAGATTCATGACCTAAGTGTAAGGACTAAAACTGTGAGGATATAGAGGAAAAGAAAACAGAGGGGGGAAACTATGATACAGGACATGGAAAATACTCTTTTGGAAACGAGTACAGGCAACAAGAAGCTGAGTTTCATCAAAGTGAAAAATGTTTTTGTATCTAAAGACTCCATCATAAAATAATACTGTATGTTTTTACTCACATGGAAAAACTAAGTTTATTTTATAGACTTGGAGAGCAGAACACTAGCTGTCAGGCAAGGAACGGGAGAAATAGAGAAAGGCTGGATTAAAAAAATACAATATACAATATAAGTAGATAGGTAAGCTGTAGGGTTCTCTACCACGAAACAGATCATACCTATATTACTTATGAAAGTACTTCAAGAAGTTCATGGAAAATGGAATTTCAAGTTCATTTTGTACAAAAAGTTTTGAAATCCATGTGGTGTTTTCATGCTACTCATTCTCATGAAGACTCCTAGTATGCATAGATTCTAAGATTTTTTGTCAGCATGGGCTAGTGTTGTATAGTGGGTAAAGCCACAACTGGCAACAACAGTGTCCCATTTGGGGAACAGTTTATGTGCCAACTGCTCCAATTCCAATCCAGCTTCCTGCTAATTGACTGGGAAAAGTAGCAGAGAATGGATCAAATGCCTGGGACCCTGTCACCCACATAGGAGACTTAGGCAAAGTTTCTAGCTCCTAGCTTCAGCCTGGTCCACATCTGGGGAGTAAATGAACAGTTGGACGACCCTTTCTAAACCTTCTCTACCTGTATTAAGCCTTTCAAGTAAATTTTTACACCAAATAAACCCTACTTTTGATTTCACTAAACAACTTTTTAAAATATATTTACTATGAAAGGCAGTAACAGTTAGCTGTCTTCCACACCTGTTAGTTTATCCTCCTATCCCTCATAAATGTAACAGCCAGGACTAGGATCCTGAAGCCAGGATCCTGGAACACCACCTTGGTCTTACATGTGGATGACAGGGGCCCAAGGACTTGGGTCATTATCTGCTGCCTTCCCACGCACATTGCAGAAAGATGTGGAGTAGCTGGGACTCACCTTGGTACTCTGATAGGAGATGTGGGTGTTACAAGCAGTGGCTGGCATGCTGGGCGACAGTACCAGCCCCTTCACAGACTTAAGTATCCTTGCTTATATAACTTGCTTTAAGGAGGGCAATAAGAATAGAATTTAAAGTATGCTAATATAAAGAAAAACTTGAAGTTTAAGGAAAAGGAAATCCAAACTATTCTTTTTTTTGATCACTGCACATTGAATATATGTTCCAATTGCTAACATAGAAATCCATGATTATTGCAGCACCTGACAGCTCAAGAGAGATGTGGGGCCGCAGAGGAACTGATCATCCTCTGGTATGTGTGTTGGGCTAGCACACACAAGCTTAGTCTCAGGTAATCCCAGGTGGTTTGCTGGAGAACACCCCAGCTAGACCACTAGACTCAGACTTCAGCCACAGGGAGAATCACAGGATGTATGGTTTGACCATGGAGTAGTTATTGGGACTGGGCCGGCACAGTTGATGCCTGTGCACTGGTCAGCATGCCCAGGTACACTAAGGCAACATGATGGCCAGCTCATCTAGGCCAGCAAGGAAAATTGCCTCATCAGATGATGGAAAGTAGAACAGGTTGGACAATTCTCCTGGCCAAGCTTTGTAGCATGTTCCTGGGTCTGTGGATGCACTAAGGTGGACTCTGTCAACCAACAGACTTTGGGAAGATTTTCTTAACCTTGGAGCAATGAAACCAACTCAGAACTATCAAAACTATTCAAGTAAGACCCTTGTGATACTCTTCTCCACACACAGGTCTCTAGGCGGATATACCCATGATTTCTGTAACAAATTTCTTAGCTAATATCATGGCATACAAATTAAGAATCTTATATAAAGTAACAAGGTTAATGAAACTTTTAAGCCTAATTTTTGCCTATATATGCTAATACGATACTTTCTACTATAGTAAGAATCATTTGAAAATATTTTCACTGTAAAGAAGTCCTGCATCTTCAGAGATATTATCTCTAAAGCTTTTAAAATGCCAAGCCATCGTTTTCATACTTTTCATCTGTACTTGGCGGTTAGGGTTAATGATGTATTGATACATCAAATGATGTTAAAACATACTTACCAGATCCCATGAGAGCACAGATCAGGACCATGGAATTGTATTTTATTTCAGGAGCACTTCTTTCATCTGCTAGCAATCTGTGTAGAATCTGTACAAGTTTAGCACTTTCTAGATCTTTCTCAGCAGTGCCTAAAATATAAAAAGTTATTTTCACTGTATATGAACTCAGCATATTCAGCCTAGAAATACTTCTCTAGAAACTGTGGAACCTCCCCAGAGAGAATGATTAACATTTACCTAGATCTTTTATTATTTCAGACTATGTGAAAGGAGTAGATGAAACCAAATTTCAGAAGACATTTAATTAGGCTTAACATCTGATAATGAAACAAATCTGTATTATGAAAAAAATGCTACATATACAGAAATACCCACTGTCACCTTCAACAATTATGGACAGTACTGTTTCATCTACCTCTCATCTGAAATTCTTTTGGAACATTCTATACAATAGTGACACAAATATCATTCCAAGGCATTTACCTAGATAAATGAAAATTCACATTCACTGAAGAATTTGCACACAATGAATTTAAAAAATTCTTAGCACCTATTTTTTAAAGTGCCAAACTGGAAGCAGTTCAAATGTCCTTCAGCAGGTGACTCATTAAACAAGCAGTGGTTACATAAGGATATACCATGAAGCACTATTCAACAATAAAACATTATAAAGACTAAAAAATGATTTAGAATTATGCTGAGCACAAAAAGTCAATCCCCAAAGGTTATGCCGTTTGACTAAAGTTATCTAAATTTTTAAGATAGCAATTTTAATAATGAAGAATACATTAGTGTTTTCCAGGATACAGGTACAACGTGGGAGATAGAGGAAGCAGGTGGCTGCTGTAAGGGGACAACAGAAAGGAATTTTGTGATGCTGGAAATGTTATGATTGATGGTATATACCATCTTAAATGGATGATAAAACCATACAGAACTTACAAACACAAATGAGTATGAATAAAACTGGGGAAATTTAAATGAGTAACCTATGTCAATGGTTAAGCCATGCTGTAGGTCTCCAAATTGGTACCTCACTGGGAAAAACTGCACAGTGAACACAAAGGACCACTTTTTTACAATTGCACTCTGAATATTTAATTACATTTCAAAAAACAAGGACTCTTCAAAATGTCTTTTAACACTATTAGAGATTTGTGATGACAGTTCCTTATAATCTATAAGGACACAAGACTAGAGAAACGAGGTTTTCAAAGCATATTGTGTATTAAAAGGTAGCATAGCTTATTCACGCTTTGTTACTTGTGATTGCTAAGCCCCCTAGATACCGAAGTATGCAAGTGTACTGTCTCTGTAGTTCTACTGCGTGGTGACCCAGCAAGTGTTGAGCTCTCAGGAAGCTGCAGCTTACTGGAAGATACTAAACACAAGGGACACAAAACCAGATCCGCTCTCGCCTCAGGTACATTCCATTAACTGCTGCATTACCTTGAGCATACATAAAGCCTTCCAAGCTTAAAGATGGAGACCTTGTAGACCAACTAATGACTCACCTCTGGGAGAGAAGTCCCAGGCTGAGTCAGGACGAAAGACCACAGAATCTTAAACTATAGACTGCAGGAGTGACTGAGAGGAGGAAAAACATTTTTGAAGTTTTTTTTTTTAACATTCAAACAACTACTACAGTAGTAGAATACCCATGAAGTATTTATTTAATTTTTTTATTATTGGAAAGTCAGATATGCAGAGAGGAGAGACAGAGAGGAAGATCTTCCGTCTGATGATTCACTCCCCAAGTGGCCGCAACGGCTGGAGCTGAGCCAATCCGAAGCCAGGAGCTTCTTCCAGGTCTCCCACATGGGTGCAGAGTCCCAAAGCTTTGGGCTGTCCTCTACTGCTTTCCCAGGCCACAAGCAGGGAGCTGGATAGGAAGTAGAGCTGTCAGGATTAGAACCTGTGCCCACATGGGATCCTGGCATATTCAAGGTGAGGACTTTAGCTGCTAGGCCACTGCGCCAGGCCCGAATTTTTAAAAGATTTATTCGGGGCACGGTACGGAAGCTCAGTGGCTAAGTCCTTGCCTTGTATTCCGCCAGTATCCCATATGGTTCCAATTATAACCTTGGCTGCTCCACTTCCGTTCCAGCTCCCTGTTTCTGGCCTGAGAAAGAAATAGAGGATGGCTCAAAGCTGTATGGAAGACCTGGAAGAAACTCTTAGCTTCAGATCAGCTCACTTCTGGCTGTTGTAGCCAGTTGGGTAGTAAATCAGTGGACAGAATGTCTTTTTTCTAAGTATCTCCTCCTCTCTGTAAATCTGACTTTTCAATAAAAACAGACAAATAAGTAAAGCTTATTATAAAAAAAAATGCAATATGTTAGAAACTGAATTTAGACTCTGGTTTGAGGGAACTTGAAGCCAAAACACAAATAACAGTAACACAGAAGACAGTAATTAACAACAAAAGTGTTACAAAATTAATAGAAATCATGGTGATGGATGAGATGAAGAGAATTGGCGAGAGAAAAGACTGAAGAGAGGGTCTGGCTTACTGAAAGAGTAACGGGTTCTTCACTTGATGTTGTACTTTAAATAGTCTAGGAAATCTAAACATTTTCTATATTCTTTAATAGCAATTTATAACCACTTAAAGTGTTAAACAATCTTATAACATTGGCACGAAAACATTACCAAAAGCACAGCTGAAGGACACAGCTGTGGTAACACAGCTAATTAGATGTTCTGCATTTTACATAAGTATGGCCGAAATGCTTCCAGTCAAGGTGCTGTGCTATCGATTCCACTCCTGAACTTCTTTCATCAAAGATAAAAACAGCAGAAAATAAGTTGGTCACCGGGCACTTACCCAATTCTAAAGCTGCTATTAGTGCCAAAGCAACAAGGGCTTCATTCTGCATTATTACATGCTCACTAGTTGCCATGGAAACTAGATGCTTGATGCCACCACTCTGCACAATGGTTTTAATTACATCCTACAATAAATAACAGAATTATAAACTTTAATTTTAAACAGAGAGACTGCATTACAGTCAGTCAACGTATTGTTAAGCTGAATGGATTTGTGATAGTGTCCTGTATGAATCATTGCATTTAACCAGATTTTTTCCCCCCAGTAAAAGCAAAAAGCTTTTAGCTTTAAAATAAATTCATCAAAAGATGACAACTTGAACTTCTGAAGCAAGAAAGACCAGTGCACTTCCAACACAGAATAGAGGGGCCTACAAGCTATAAAAGCCAGGGAACAGAAGCTCCATTTTCCTAAATGCTGACCTACCTCAGGATCAACAGCAGAGAATAATAGTTGGATTGCAAAGTTTTCTTTTTCTTACAATATTACCAAGTAGCTGTTCTTCAGATGCTTCAGATAAAGCTTTTATAAAATTTACAAATAGTATTTTTTTTAGCCCTTGGGTCCATAAGATAAATAGGCAATTGGATGACATGGAAAAGGATTGAGCAGGACTTCAATCAAAATTCTCTGTCTGTCCCCATTTTCATGGTGCCCTGTGTATTGTATTCATGGCAAAGTGGCGCAGCAGGTTCTGGATTCAATATCACAGCAACAACACTGAGAAAAGTCCAGAACTTTTGTTATCTTAGCGACTTCATCTATGATGTCAGGATGATGTGTGTCTCATAGGCTTTTTTCACAATTAGAAAACTACCCCGGGAAAAGTATCTTACAAGTTAGATAACAAATACAATCACATTTATCTCTAGTAACCATTTTTATCTTCATTCTACAGAGGATTTTGTTGTGTTAAAACTCATAAAGTGGGAAGTTACAACTGAAGAATACTTAAACTGATTTATGGATACTTTTTAGTATTTTTACTGTGAAGCTCTGGATATGAACTGGGGCTGGCATTTGCAGCATAGTACATTAGCTGCTGCTTGTAATGATGGCCAATAATGGCCCAAGGACCTGGGCTCCTACCAGCTATGTGGAAGACCGGGGTGGAGTTCCTGGATTCTACCAGACTGTCAGGGGCAAGTGGAAGGGAACCAGCAGATGGAACTCTTTCAAATTTGCTAAAGTTTTTGAAAAATGCTTACTTTGGATTTTTATCTTATGAACATTTTTAAGAAAAGTAGAGACACTTGGAATTTCTGATTATTTTTACGGTAACTTATGTGAGCTGTATTTTGGTATATAGTAAATTTCCATTAATAGTTTTTTTGGTAAACTTCTAAAATTGTATTTGAAAGAGATAGCAAGGAAAGAAATCTTCCACCTACTGGTTCACTTCCAGAAGACTGATACAGCCTGGCCTGGGCCGGGCCAAGGCTAGGAGCCAGGAGCCTCTTCCAGGTCTCCCACATGGGTGGCAGGAATCCAACCATTTGGGCGCCATCTGCAGTTTTCCTAGGGAGCTGGACAGGAAGTGGAGCAGATTGGCATGAACTTGAACCTATTTGGGATGCTGGCATGGCAGGAGTTGGCTTTACCTGGTACACCACAATGCCAATTCTGAGAACCTTTGGCCTTTAGATGGTCATTTCATCCTTTTATTTTTTTTTTAAATTCACCCTGCAAAGTCCAGTGCAGGAGGAAGAACAGGAAATATCAGAACATCAAAAGTGATGTTATATCCAGCATAGTTTCTTTGTTCTCCCTTCTTTCCAAAACACCTTTAGAAATGCCTGTCTCCAAATATTTGACAAATATTAAACAGCTACTGCTGTATGAAACTGCTTTGCCTATAGTTTGCAGGGGAAAAGGTAAAGCATTCTACCTGTGTTATGTGAGAAAAGCAATCTAATATTGAGCCCAGCGCAGTAGCCTAACAGCTAAAGTCCTCACCTTGCACATGCCAAAATCCCATATGGGCACCGATTAATGTCCCGGTGGCCCTGCTTCCCATCCAGCTAGCTCCCTGCTTGTGGCCTAAGAAAGCAGTCTGGGATGACCCAAGGCTTTGGGTCAGCTCAGCTCCAGCCACTGCAGCCACTGGGAGAGTAAATCAGTGGACAAAAGATCTTCCTCTTCCCTGTGTATCTGACTTTCCAATAAAAATAAATCTTTAAAAAATTATAAAAGTAATCTCATATCAAAAGCTTTCCTTTATGGAACAATTATTATACCGGGTCCTTATTGCATTTTTTTTTTCATTCTGCAGGAAATCCCCATTAGTAAAACCATTTCCAGCATATGGATGAAGACACCGAAACTCAAGGTAGGAAATCTCAAGACCAGATGGCGAGTAAATGGCAAAGCTAATGTTCAAATGCAGTAGTTTGATTACCAAGTCCTCAGTCTTTTATGGTCAATGTAAAACTAATGTCCTAAATTCATCTATGCAGAGTAATCATTTAATATGACTTATGCCTCTATGAATGTGTATTGCTACTTTTTAACCTCAAGATATTTTTCAAAAGATGAAAGATTTTTAGCAGTTCATGTAGCAAAAAGGATCACCTATAAAAATATCAGCAAGTTAACCAACAGACTTAAAAAACTAATCTAGAAGTCATTTTTAATTTTTTTCAAAGCACTTCTACATATTACAGAATGGAACAGTTCTTACAGAGAGCCCTGCTAACCACAAAATGTCTCTGTAAAACCCGTAAAAATTTCTAAGTATTTTTACAAAGTTAGAAAACAGAACTATGTATAATAAAACATTATTTCAAAGTAGTTTTCTTTTAGAAAATTCAGTTTGGGGACATAAGATCAGAACCAATTGTCTTTGCCAACAATTTTATCTTCTTAGCATTAATAGGCAATCTGGCCTTGGTGACTGAAATATATTCAGGTTTTAAAACCATGCTGAAAACTGAATAATCATGTTGCTCACAAACAGAATGTTTTGAGATAGGCTTGATTAGAGAATAATCAATTTATAAATATGCAGGTTGGTGTTACTGAAATTTTTTTCCAAGACTACCATCAAAGTCTTCTCAAATTGGGACTTGGATGCTTGTTCGATGGATGAGTGAATGACTAAGTACATTTCCTTAAATAAGCTTTCAGCTTAAAATACAATTGATGAATGCTATCCCCTTAGAGAGTTAAGAATGATTCCTTGACAGAGCTTCTATACTCTGAGTTAGCAGAAACTGACAAAGGAAAAAAAATTAGTTTTAGCTATGTGCAGTATGAAGATCCAGAAAACTGGCGAGGAGCTCCATTTGAGGGCATTCTTTCAACGGTGTGAATTTCCCTCATCGCATAAACCTGAGATGTAGAGAGAAATCTAACCATCTTACTTCTGGAGGGATGAACTCAGACAGGATTCAGGGCAACTTTAAAAGGAGTATGCTCTTCAAAGTTTAACACATGGAGAGCGCTGTGATTCATAACAGCCGGTTGAGGATCTTTATGTAGCCAGTTTGCACCTAGTGTTACTGTAAGTGTATTTCAGAGCAGCATTTTCCCAAGCACCTCCAAGTACTTAAAAAAAAAATTGTGCAAAACGGAATTAGTAGATAATGTTCTGTGAAAAAGATTTTATAGTCTAGGCAAATTTGCCATAGCTTCCATCTTTTCTCTGTGTACTTTCTGAAGAGTTTTGTATGCATTCAAACTAACTCATCTTAATTCTAGTTCCCACAAACTTGAGGTATTTTCACATGTCCAGTGTAAATCCTATTAACTGCAGAAAATAAATATGTAAAGTGGAAATTACTTGGTTGATATTTAATTGCATTTCTGAAGTTAAAATGTCATTACAATCCTATAAAATTTCACACTGTTTTCTATTACATACATAAATACACACAGCATCAAGAAAGGTGCTGCTTTACAGTCTTCATTTTTCAAAGCTCCCACAGAGTGATGGATACTCAACAAATAGAAAAGTGTGTGGGAGTGGGAGGAAGAATGGAGATTAGATGAAGGAAAGGAAAATCTATGATAAATGAAACTCATTATATTCCTCAAGATTTTCAAAATTCAATAGACTATTGTATTTCAAGAGAATAGACTATTGTATTTCAAGAGTTTTGGCCCTTAAAACAGTTGGGGTGCATCTTCTATAGATAATGGTTTGTTATATAACTGCTAGCTGATACCAAACTGAAGTCACAAAGTCATTATGGCTTCCTACTTTATGTAACAGGAACTTAAAGTTCCAAATCAGATGCCTGAATCATGTCTGTTGTTTGTAACCTAACTAGACAGAATTAAGATTTTTTTTTAAAAATTTTAAATCAATGCTGGTTAAGTTCCAAAAAGTGCTGAGACTGAGAGTAAGGAATAAACAAATTACATCTCTTCCTATAGCATATTTTAATGGCAAAACACAGCCCAGGGCTGCTGCTGAACTGTGGAGTTTTCTTTAAAATCACCTCCTCCAGCAAACCTGTCACATTTAGTTGATTTTATCCTTCTCAAATCCTTCGCTTCTTTTCTCCCATAAAATGTACTCCTTTGTGTCAAAAGTGGTTTAACATCAGCAATGTCAACTGTTCAACCTCAAACCTTAATTCAGATCTTCATCTTTCATGTATATTTTTGTAACAACTTCCCATTTCTTTTGCTTGCCTCCACGAAAGCCCTCTGTCAGACTTCAAAATGAAAACCCAGTGATGGCACTCTGCTGCTTAAAAGCTTCTAAAATTCTCTAGAAAATCTTTGATTTGTCATATCAAGCTTCAATCTTTATTTTCTCTTGCCATCATCCCCATATACTGTGCTCCAGCAATACTGCTTTATTTGCAGTTTCTAACACTTCTCCTGAGACCCCTATTGTCAGAACACAGCCTGTAGGAAAGCTGGGACAGCAGAGGCCTGTGGGACCCTGTTGAGAAGAGGCTCCAGGAAAGAGAAGGCGGAAGGCCTCTCACCCACAGTGTGCTCTTGCCAGTGAGTCCCAGCATGCGCTTTCATGCTCTCCTTGAAGATAGGTGGACATCTGTGCTCTGTCCAGTAAATCAAGGATGGACAGTATTATCTATTCCCTGTTATAACAACCTTTTGACTAGGTCGCCTTGTTAGTTCATGTGTAAGAACACAGACTACAAAGAAGCTAATTCTGAGTTATGTCTGAACCACTGTTTCATGAAATGCATAAAAGCTGAAACCCTGGAAATAAACTTTGTCAGTTGACAAAAGAGCACTGTGCCCCCATTTCTTCAGGTCATCTCCTCTCCAGGAACCTGCAAGGTAAACTTGCACCTTATGTGAAACATCTGCCCCTCTATAACACCATCCCAGATCTCCCAGACAGCACTGGTCTCTCTCCTGTTGAATGGAATATGTGGCTTCAATGCTATTCTTATGTGCTTTTACTATCAGTCCTCTCACTAGACAGGTAAGTTCATGCTACATTAACTTTAACATTAACATTTCTATTAACATTACATTAACATTTATATTTATATGGCAAACAAGTGTGTCTAGGAGAGACTTCAGATGCAGAAGGGGTGAAAAAAGTACAAAAGGAGGTCATTTTGTTATTTAGTCATAGTGCCCACAAACGGTTGGTGTCAGTGGAAAAAGATTGGATGAGACAGGTAATAAGAAGTTCCTGGAAAACAACTGTTTTTACCTTAGGAACAGCCCTGAAACTTCAGCATCTGAAGGAGAAGGGCAAGTCTGTGGCTAACCAGAGGGCAGAGCTATGACGGTGAAGCCAATTATAGACATGAAAGAGATTTATGCAACAAGAAACACTTTTTTTTTTTCCTCTAAATCCCTAAGTAAATGAAAATAGCTGAAGGATTTGAATTCTAAACTGATTTTCTTACGTATAACCACCATTCAGGTTGTATAACTCAAGTGATCAAAGGCTCACCTTAGACCAAGTTATATGTATGTGTGTGTGTGTGTGTGTGTGTATATATATATATATATATGTAAAGAAATACAATCTACTAAATTAGGTGCAGGCTGCTGACTGGGGTTCTCAGCATTATATGTTTAAAACAGATCATGTCTTCTTTCTCTGGTTACCTACCAATACATGGCTATTAGAATATATTCTGTTCAACTCTGTTCTGGCTACCATATGCTATCTGAATACCATGTAATTTCTCAATGTCCACAGCTAGCAAGGTTAGTGTCTGACACGAGTGCTGGTTGTAGTGGCAACAATAGAAGCAGCAGCAAGAGAAACCTTGGTTTCTCGAGTGCTTCCTATGTGATGGGTACCAGCTATCACTTCATAGACTTGATGTCACTAAATCCTCACAATGTTTTTAGACAGATCTCATCTGTTTTTGTATATTAAGAAACAGATACAAAGAAACCTGACCATCTAAATGAGATTAAAAATATGACTCCATCTATTGATTCCAAAGTGTTACACATTAGTACTATAAGAAAGTAAATAATGCATCTTCAATACATTTTCCTTAGCATTGTTACTGAATGTGTCGATATATAAACACATAAAAAGGTAGGCTTATTATGTAGGTTCTGTGATGCTGGGTTTCCAAAGAGGCAAGTCCAATGTTTCCTAGTCACAATTTCCTTTGGAACTTACTTTTGATTTACTGTGCCGTATGAGGGCAGAGAGCAGTCTGTTGGATTCGCCCATCACACCTGCATGATCTTTGGCTTCACACCATTCCACCAGACGCTCCACTAATTTAACATTCTTTCCCAGTTGTTCAGCAGCTTCTGCTATAGGAAAAAAAGACAACTCTCAAAGGAACAAATGGCAATCAGCAGCAATCATTAGTCAAGGTCTAAAAGTGTTAAGGAAATCACACGTTTCAAAAGCATAGAACAGCAATTTTATTAAAGCAAGTATTTCAAACATTCCTTATCTGATGGACTGTTTGGCATTTTCTCACTTTCTGTAAAGATGTAGAGTTTATTATCAAGGACTGTTTGGCATTTTATGTAAAGCCTTAGAATTTATTACAAAACATACAAACAACTCCGTACCTGTTTTGATTAAGCCTGGCCATATGTTAGTACTGTGGCAGACTTTGAAGAACATTAAGGAAGCAATGTATTGAAGGGCTTAGAACTCAAAAATAAGCAAAAACAACAACAAAAGGACCCTTTCCAACTAGAGGCATACTCACAGTTATACCAAAAATGAGGAATTTCTTTTACCTTGTGCATCTATTAACATTCTTAATGTTCCCAGAAGTTTGAACTGTACTGGGGGCATTTCAGATTTAAGGAATTTCAAAACTGCCTCTGTGACTCCGGCTGACAACATCTTTGCTTTATTTACAACTAGACAAAAAGAGAAACAGACTATGGTTAAAACGGTGTGGGTGTTCTTGATGGGAAACATTGACACAGTATATTTTTATAGGTATCAATAAATTTTAAAATGCTATTTAAGCAGAACTGAATGCATTGATTCAACTGATTGTTCCCTAGGAAACAATTTACCTAATCAAACATTTAGTTTTAGAAAGCTATCATCTGTGTTATTTCCCATGATAATCTGATTCATGGCTCAAAAACTATTAATTCAGAGACACTTTTTAAAAAACACTGTTTTCGCATGTAAGGGAAAAAAATGTTTGTCTTTAGAGGATTCTGCTCATCAATGTCATTAACTTTTCTACTCTGAAGACACTTTTAAAAAGTTTGACTGTATAACCTAATGAAAAGCCAGGCATTCACAATGGTGTTTGAATAATTTGAAGAAAGGATTTATATGGGATCTAGTGTCTGAAAACTTATTTAACAGATTTCCAGTTATCAGTAAAAGTGAATAATTTGAAAACTTTTACTACATGTCAGAAAAGTTCCTTAAAGTACATAAGTATGCCCCTAAAAGGATAGACTTTTAAAACTTTCTACGCGTTTGCCTTCTGATCTTACACCTTACCTGGAATGGCCAGGTTTCGGAGGGCACTTAGTGCTGCATGCTGCACAGTCACATTTCCATCTTCTACATGTCTGTCTAATAAATCCATGAGTTTTTCTACAATTCCGTTGTCTACCATATGAATACAATTTCCATCTGAACAAAACAGAAGCATTTTTCTTTTAAATATTGATTTTGTAGTACTGATGCATGCCAATAAAACATTAAAGATCCAGTTCATTTCCCAAAAAATATTTAGATTTTTCTATTTACTGAATGAGAAGTCTGAACAGAAAAACGCAACAAAGATCTCCTGCTCATAGCAATAATGCATATCAGGGCAGGTAGAAATCACATGCTTAAAATTGTCACTGGTAGTTTCACACACAGTACAGGGTGCTTGTTTTCTGCCAATGTAACAGTGACTGACTATTCTCACCCTCCTGTTATCATGGCTGACAGTGAAGACAGAATACTTCAACAGTATCCCATGTTTGGCTTGAATAATCATCAATAGTTGGTCTGTCTTACCTCCATCACTTAAGTTACTATGTTTAAGAGTAAAAGTGTGCTGTATTTCCCATAGTGTGAGCTTCTACACTGAATAGAAGGAATGAAATAACTAAGGAATATTCTAACTTTTTAAAAAAGATTTATTTTTATCGGAAAGGAAGATTCACAGAGAAAAGGAGAGACAAAGATTTTCCATCCTCTAGTTTACTCCCTAGGTGACCACAACGGCTGGAGCTGTGCTTGTCCAAAGTCAGGAGCTGCTTCTGGGTCTCCCACATTGGTGCAGGGTCCCAAGGCTTTGGGCAATTCTCTTCTGCTTTCCTAGGTCACAAACAGGGAGCTGGATGGGAAGTGGAGCATCTGGGAAATGAACTGGTGCTCACCCGGGATCCTAAGGCTTACAAGGTGAGGATTTAGCCCCTGGGCCATCTCACTGAAGTATGAATGAGCTCTCTCACTTAAGTATTAAGGCAGAATACTCAGCTTAAAATCACCAAGAAAAGAGCACATCTTCTTATACCAAACATATAATAGAATAACACTCAAGTTTACTAAGCTCTAAAATGCACAGTATTCAATAGAAATACTTCATAATTCATGGATCTTCATTAGAATTTAGTTGAACTGTATAGAACATACAATTTCTTAGGACAGTCTCTAGAAATCTTATTGGTTTATTTATATCTATTGGAAAGGCAGATCAGATTTAGAGAGAAGGCGAGACACAGAGTAACATCCTCTAAAAGCAAGGAGGCTGGATGGGAAGTGGAACAGTCATGACAAGAACCCGCCCCAAATGGGATACCAACGCTCGCAAGGTGAGGATTTAGCTACTGAGCCATCGCACTGGCTCCGTATTTGTGACTTCTAAAAAGTTAAAGCAACAAATATGTATATATTACACAAATACCTAGTTTTGTTCATCAACATGTATTTATACATCTTCAGGGAGTACAATGCAATATTTCAATACATATATATTGATCAAACCGGGTAATTAGCTTTCCCCTTATCCTTCCTTTGTGCTCAGAGCCTATAAGCTCCTTCTTCTGGCTCTTTCATTGGTATATTATTGAGAAGCACAGTCACTCTACTGTAGAACACTACAACTTCCAACTGCATGTCACAATACTTCTGAACTCTTCCACTGGAAATAAAAATACAGAACACTGGATTTATAAAGGAGGAACCAATACCCTTACCATTTCGGGCAAAATTTGCAATGGCCAAAGCTCCAGCAAGCTGTAGCTGGTGGTTATTTGAGGGAATCCAAGAGAGCACTCTTTGAAACACATTGCCTTTTCCTCCTTCAAATAATTTCTGCATGGATTCATCTGGAGGTAAATCAAACAAATGGCTAAATAAAAGAAAAATAATTAAGGATAACAAATCCATATTCCCAAGCTTCTGACTGGGAAACTACATAGCTCACAAACTTAATTCATAATGTGAAAGGTAAAGACATTTTATTACAGCCTTTAACACAGACCAGACAACAGAGTGTTTTTAGGCTATGTCCCAGGTAGACATCCAGTGGTTCCTTAGTGCTACAGCTATTTTTTCTATACAACAGTTCTAAACATATGGGACAATAGGAAAGACTTAAGTTCATTATTTCTCATCCTCTCACTGATGTGCTTAAGGTTTCCAGTTCATTACATCAACAGAATGTGTGATGCGAAAATGACAGAAATTTAATATATTGAAAAGTATCTGACAGCCATGTTCTGTGGATGGTGTAAGTTACAACTCACCTCCAAGAAGTAATAAAACCATTAGATCTGAAGCAGTTTTGAGCTCAGCAGTATCATCCTCTTTGTCACTATCCACTTTCTGCTGAACAATCTCTAGAAGACACTCAACCAAGCCTGCTTCAACCAGCTGCAGTTTAATGGCATCTGAAGAACAATGTGAACAAAAAAAAAAAGCCCAAATGCAAGGTGAAACAAGAGCTTTCCTAGTAGCAAGTCATTATGACAGACCAGAGAAACAAAATGCCAGATTTATATAACATAGGATTGGGAATCTGAGTTTCAAAAGAAAGTATCTGTGCAATTTAAATATGTAATGTTTTTATTTCATTTTTCTACACAGAATTACATCACCTTTCACAATATCATACAACACCCAACTCAATTCTCAGTTCTGAAGACCTCTAGTATCACACCAAAATTATTTCAAGCATTATGCTTCTGTTTAGAAAGTCATCAGTATGAAATTTTTTTTTAGTATGAAATCTTGTATGTCAAATATGCCTAATACGTGTTTTGTAAAAGTTAAAAATGTATCCCTGATGAGTCTTGAATATAAAGTTGTTGAAAAGTAATGTGCTATTAATTTTAACTTGCACCTTAAGTATATTTCGACTTACATGCATATAGATGCCATTTGTCTAGTGTAGCTAATCCAACACTATGAACATTAAAGTCATATTTGTAAGAAAAGCTTCAGGTCTTCGTTAATTTAAAACTTTCTTGGTTAATTAGTACTTTATCATACTAAATTCTAAGTATGTTTTTAAATGCCCATAATATAAAAGGTGAAAGAAATGGCAGTAAGGCTCTCTGAGGGGTAACCAACAAAATGGGATATTATAAAAATAATTTAAACCCAATTATATTTCAAAAAATGATCTTCATAACATACTCCTAAATCAATGTTTAGCATTTTTATCATAATACTTATTTCACTGAAGAATTTATATTCACATTCATAACTGCTTCCTATTCCCATTTGAATTAAATTTATCTAAATTCTGATCAACTAAATTTAGAAATACATTTTCTACCCAGATTTTTAAATGTAAATTTTAGTTTCTATTTTATTAAAAAAATTTATTTATTTGAAAGGTAAAGTTATAAAGAGAGTTCTTCCATTTGCTGATTCACCCTCCAAATGGGTGCAATGGTCAAAGCTTGTATAATCCAAAGCCTGGAGCAGGAGGTCCTTTCCAGTATCCCATGTTGGGTAGAAAGGCCCGATACTTGGGCCATCTGCTGCTGCTTCCCCAAATTAATAGGGAGCTAGATCATAACGGGAACAGCCAAGACCCAAACTGGTACTCATATGGGATATCAGTGTTGCAGGTGGCAGCTGTGCCAAAGCCAGCCCTTAAATTTCACTTTTTAGTTGCATTATACTATAGTGATTGGTTTCCCTAAGCTATATACACACATATTCTTTTAGGCAGCATTGGCAATTTCAGTGTGTCATACTGGTAAAACGCAAATTTAAAAATATATAAACATGCCAAGACTTTCTCTTCAAGGAAATACAGTGTAAAAACTTAATATTTTTCTGTCACTAGAGTCACTGAATTTTCTTTTAAGATTTGTTTCAGAATATTCAAACTTGAATATTTTATTTTTTAAAGGTATACTTGTACTATGCTGTGCTCAAAGTAGGACATTTCCTTGGTTACAGAATGCCAAGGCTAGAACTGTGGCAACTAGAATGAAAACAGTATGAAAAAGCCTTATACTAAAAAACCTTAAACTAAACAAATATTAACTGTTATACCAGAATTGCTCTCCTTTGCAAACAAAAAAAAATTAACACTGATTTTCAAAAGCTCAGTCCCAAAGCAAGTTTCTTGAAAGCTATCATTTCACAGATGGGACTGTTATAAAACTGAAGAATGGAGAAGAAAATAATACTAACTCTTACTATGAAACACTATAAGGAAAGTTGATAATTTTCTATGTAAAACTGATAGATGACAACAAAGCTTTCGTCTTGCTAAACCACTAAATGAGATGAAAAACAAATTACTCTCTAAGAGTAAGACCTACGATGTTTAGAAAACTGAAATGTGTCAAGATTAAAGTTTACACACCTCTCATGGTTTAACTGCAACCACAAATAATATAGGAGGCTTACAATGTCTTAATTAGGATTAGCAAAGTATTCTGGCAAGACACATTAACATGTATATATCAAGACCAGTCTGAAGACTTCTATCTTTACCACCTTCTTTTGCATACAATCAGTACGCCTGTATGTGTGTGTATGTATATTCATGCTGGTATCACATATAAGTGCACATTTCAAAATTTTCATCTAGGAGACTATCTATGAGGGAGACATTAATCTTCCATCCACTAGTTCATTCTTCAAATACCCCCAATAGCCAGGACTCGACCAGGCTGAAGCCAAGAACCTGGAACTCCATCCTGGTCTTCCCAAGTGATGGCAGAAGTCCAGGCACTTCTGTCATCTGCTTTCCAAACTGCATCAGCAGAAAGCTGGATCAGAAGAGAAACGGACATGTGAAATGGAATGTGGGCCACAGAAGTGGCAGCTTAACCTGATACACCACAATGCCTTCCCTGAAACCTTTTTTTAAATGGTAATAAAAGGAACCAGCATGGTGATACAGGGGCTAATCCTCCATCAGAGGTGCTCTTTCGCTGAGGCGCCAGCATCCCACATGGGTACCAGTTCTAGACCCTGGCTGCTCTGTTTCTGATCCCACTCCCTGCCTGAAGACCTGGGAAAAGAGCAGAGGATGGCTCAAATCCTTGGCTTCTGTCTCCATGTGGCAGACCTGAAGAGAAGTTCCTGGCTCTTTGCTTCAGATCAACTCAGTTCTGGCCATTGTTGCTATGTGGGGAGTGAGCGAATGGAGGATGGCAGATCTCTCTCCTCTCTGGAAGATCTGCCTTTCAAAATAAAACCATTTTCTTAAAAAATAAATGAAATGGTAATTAGAACCTGCAGATGGAGAAATGCAGATACAATATACATGTTAAGTAAATAAATTATCAGAAAGCTAGATGGAGAAATGTATTGCCAACACCCTTTCTCCCCACAACTGACTCTGCTGTCTTCCACCTTAAGTTACCCAGGCTGTTACTGTAATCACATCTATATTTTTATTTCATCATATATAATTTCTATTACTCAATTTACCTCTCAAAGTTTATAGACATAGAATAAATTGTTTCTTAATGTAAGCTTTTCAACAATTTGTCCATATTTAATATTTAGAAAAATCTTCATTCCTTTTGCTAATTCTGTGTTTTTCCATTGTGTGACTGTGCCATGGTCTGCTTAGTGTACATTTTGTTAGTAAATATGGACTGGTTTCCATTTTTATCATTATGAATAATATTGCTGTAATAGTCTAGTATACATGTCTCTCGGTATATTCCTAAAATCAAAATTGCCAAACCAGAGGGATGCATAGCTCCAACCACAGTACATCGTAGTTTCCAAACTGAATCAAGTTATACTCCCATTAGAATTTATTCCACATCTCATCAACACTTGGTTTTATTAGACTTTCTAATAGTATTTTATTATTTTGTACGACCTGATTATTATGAAATTGGGCATATTTTTATTTGTTTATTAACTAGCTATTTTATGTTTTTTTTTTTCAAGTGCCTGTTCAGATCTTTTTACTTATTTTTCCCCACTTTGTTTTCTACATTTCTCAAACTGATGTGTCGGAAGTTTTAGAAGTACATGATACACTTGAGCCTTCTGCTGCATTGTAAACACAGTCTTTGGTCCACTCTTGGCTTTCAGTCTTAAATGGCATCTTTGAATAATGTAAGCAAACCTGTCCATCTTTTTCTGTATGATTAGAGCTTTGCATGACTGAAAAAAAAAACTTGCTGTGTTCCAAGGCCATGATACTATTTTCCTGTCATATAATTAAATGTAGTAATATGAAAAAACATATTCTGTGCATTTTATAGATATATTTCCTTCACTTCCCTACTTCTCAATATTCCAACCTTCCCATTCTTCATCAGTTTTTGTAATGACATTATTTTAATCCACTCTCTATTCATAGGCTTAAGAGGCCTTTAATTGTAACATTAAGAAACAAAAGTAGGAAGATGAGAGTTCCACGGAGTATAAATATGGGCAGAAAGCTTTTCTGGTTATAACATTCTCACCTATCTGGAATTAATATTTACACAGGAGGCCAGAAACCTATTATTCATTTTAAAATAACCTCATCAAGAGACCTAATTTACAGATTTTTAAAAAAAACAATTAAAACTTAATTATTCTTATTGGAAAGGCAGATCAGATTTATGGAAAGGAGAGACAGATTTTCCATCCACTGGTTCATTCCCCAGGTGGCCACAATGGCCAGAACTGAACTGATCTAAGGCCAGGAACCAGGACCACCTTCTGAGTCTCCCATACTGGAGCAGGGCTGCAAGGCTTTGGGACATTCTTTATTGTTTTCCCAGGCCACAAACAGGGAGCTGAATGGGAAGTGCAGAAGGTGGGACACAAACCAGAGCCCATACGGGATCCTGGTGTATAAAACATGAGGATTTAGCTACTGAGCAATCGTACCAGGCCCTAATCTACAGATTTTTTTTTTAGTAATAACCATTTACAAACAGTAATTTTTTTCTTTGCTACATTTTTTCATCCTCTTTAATGCAACATTTAGCTCCTATAATATTTTTCTAACATTATGAAATGTTCCAGTGAAATATAAATAATTAAGTGCTATTTAAGACTAAATCTGTTTATGATTATTTTCTTCAAAAAAAGTAGAAACTGGAATAATGTTTATTGCAAATCTCCAAGGAAATGCTTCTCTTTGATGTTTTCTGTAGGGTTTCAGATTTTAAAAATTTCCTCTTAATGACATCTTGCTAAGAATTTTGAGTCATGAATGGATGGTTAATCCTAGCAAATCCTTTTTCTTGAATTTTTTTCTCCTTCAGCATTTTTAAGATAGTGAATCATCCTGATTGCATTCTGAATATTAAGCTGTATTACATTTTCAAAATAGATGTTTAATTTCAAAATATTACTGGAGCTCATCTGCTGAAATTTTTGGAGGAATTTTAGTTCTATGGTCATTATATCACTGCTCTTCATTCTTGTATTTGTTGGAAACTTGATATAAAAATTTCATTAGTTTCATTAAAACACATCTATTAAGCATATTTGGTTTTACAATTATCCGGAAGAATTTAAAAGATTTATTCAGCTTTTTTATTCCTTCTTGTGTTACCCATGCATTAAAATGTGCTGTATTATTATTTTAAATGATTTATTTATTTTTACTTGAAAGGAGGTTTACAGAGAGAAAACTTCAATCTGCTGGTTTATTCCCCAAATGGCCACCATGGTTGGGGTTGGACTAGGTTTAAGCCAGTAATCAGGAGCTGCTTCTCTGTTTCCCCCAGGGTTCAGGGGCCCAAATACTTAGGTCATCCTCTGCTGTTTTCCCAGGTCCATTAGCAGGGATCTGCCTCAGGAATCAAACAGCCAGAACTGCAATTGCATCAGGATGCTGGCATTCCAAATGGAGGCTTAAACTGCAGTGCAAGAATAAGTCCCTGTAGTCTTTTTAAATTTGCAATTTGCATTTAAGTTTTAATGACAAATATATTCAGCCTTCTTGAGTTACACCTACCTAGCCACAAGTTTCTTCCCTGCAGCTATATCATCTTCCTTCTATTGGATGAGTAACGTTAGCAATTGGCTATAGTGAAGCTAAATTGGTGGTAAAGTTTGTTGGTGTTTAATCAGAAAATCTTTGTTTTATCCTCGTCTTCAATGGGTTTAAAATTCTAGACTGGTAATTACTTTCTTTAGCAAAAATAAAGATGTTATTCCACTTTCACCTGGCTTTCATTTTTGCTGTTGAGAAGCTTGCTTTCAGTGAAACATTTACTCAGTTGAAGGTATATTTTGGGTAATTTTAAGATCAGCATGATACAACTAGATGTAGATTTCCCTTTGCTTATCATATTTTGGAATAAATGAACTTCTTGAATACTTACTATGTTTTACTGATTTCTGATTCACTATAAATTTCTTCAGGGGCCCAGCGTGGTGGCCTAGCAGCTAAAGTCCTCGCCTTGAGCGCCAGGATCCCATATGGGCACTGGTTCTAACCCTGGCAGCTCCACTTCCCATCCAGCTCCCTGCTTGTGGCCTAGCAAAGCAGTTGAGGACAGCCCAAGGCCTTGGGACTCTGCACCCATGTGGGAGACCTGGAGTAGGTTCCTGGCTCCGGGCTTCAGATCATGCAGCACTGGCCGTTGCGGCCACTTGGGGAGTGAATCATCGGATGGAAGATCTTCCTCTCTGTCTCTTCTCCTCTCTGTATATCTGACTTTGCAAGAAAAAAAAAATCTTAAAAAATTTTTTTCTTCAATTTTTCTTCTCTCCCCACCCCCACCAATCTTTACTTTCCTTGTACTCTAAAAAAATGCACAGCAATTTCTCACTTTATTCTCTGCCTCTTAACCTCTTCTATAAGCTGTTTGTCTTGAAGCTCCATTTTGGACTTCTTTCCAAGCTACTTTCCACTCTACTTGTTTTCTAATTGAATTATATCTACTTTCCCGTTAAACCTCCCCACTAAGTTCCTAATTTTGGTTAGATTTTTGAAGTCAGGGATTTCGTTTGTTGATTTCTCAGATCTGCTGTGTGACTTTAATTAGATTCCAGTTTAACTCTTTGAACATAATGAGCATACCTGTTCTGAGACAATGAATGATAATTCCTGTATCTGGAAGTTTTGTGCTGATGCTTTACTCTCTGTGCTGGTTCTTGCTTACTGTCTTGCTTCTCATGCAGTGTCTAGTACTTTTGATTGCATAGTAAACATAATATTTGAAAATTAATTACAAGGAATCAGGTAAATTCTTAATATTTTCTCACTGGAGAGTAACAGTTGACAAATACCCTTATCATTGGCGGGCCTAGCACTCCAGTTTTTATCCCCTTTGCCTTACAAGGACACTGAAATAGTGTTCAGCCTCTTAGCTGGCCTTTATAGATTTGACCAAAAATGTCAAAGCCACTTTCTAAGTGGCTTTGGTCAATGTAGATATAGCTAAAGGGTACATAATGTAGACATCATATTTAACACATCATGAATAAAACACCAATGGGTTTTGAGTTAAATAATGAATAAGAAATATTATGAAAAAGCTAAAAAGTCTTCATGATCAAATATGAAAAGGTATATTTCCTTACCATTTTCTGCCAATGGAGCAAGCACTTCAAAAATCATTTCCCTTTTATCATGTTCAGTTTGTTTTTTGAAAAGTTTTACCAGCTCTTCAGCAATGTTTGTACTAGCAAACTGTTCTTTACTTGACTCTGCAAAATAAAAAAAATTGGGGGAATTAAACAAAATTAAACCCATAAATTGTTGTATTACTTTCAATATTTGGTCACTTTGCATCATTACTGATTAAAAAAAATAATCAAGCACTCTTCAAGTGTAGGAAAAACAGTTTAATGCCCTTGAAATGAAAAGTGTGTAAGGTTTTAAAGAAAATATTTTGACCCAGTTATATCAGACTATAAAAAATGTTTTCACTAGCATTACAGGTAACCATAGCAACAATAAAATCACTAAGTCATAAATGCACAGTTTCAAGGCCTTTAGAATACTCATAACAGACTTCATGAGCAGACTGGATGAATTAAGCGTGATTTATCATTTTATCTTTATACCACTAAAGTGGTATGCTTTTGCACTGGTTCCAACAAGCCTGCTATTGAAGTATAATTGTTCACATATACTTCAGATGTCGCTCCGTCTTGATTCCTGAGCATTTCCATCCACTCCTCACCACCAGTCAGTATTTAAGAATATTATTATTTCCCAACATGAAACAATGTCAGAATGATACACTTTCCTCTATTCACCTTCTTTAGCTACCATTCAATCTGTCACTTTCACCAAGTCTCTTGGTAGCAATCTCTATGTATACAGCCTCTACTTTCAATTCAGACATTCTTAACCTATCTTCAGTCTAGTTCTCTTCATTTTGTAGTCTCCATGTTTGCTTCTCCTTTTCTGCCAGACTTCTATGAATTCTTGTCCTTTGGGACATACTCGTGCTTTGCTTTCTTATCTTCTTGATTCTTACATTAGGCAATCTAATTCTCTTCCACAGTGAAAAGTATCTCTGTGTTGGTATTTTATAACTATTTCACCAGCCTTCCTCTGGATTCAAAGTTATGTATTTAACTGCTTATCTGACACCTCTAAACTCAATATCTAAAACAATTTATCTGATATACCCTGAAATCTGTGCTTCCTCAAGACTTCCCTAAAAGCAGACATGAAGGAGTCACAGCTCATGATTTCACTCCGTATCAATAAATCACCAAGACCTACCAATCCCCCTCCAATTTACAACTAGAATCCATTCCATTTCTTTCCAAACTGTTTCTCAATTTATTTGGTTAAACCAGACATTCTGTTAATTTTTCTGGAAATTCAGAGAATTCCAACCAAATCCAATATACATGAGTTCTCCATGTTTGGGAGCACATTCTAGAATATCTTTGACATTCTAGAATATCTTTGATGGACCATTTTATTGTCCTCAATCATGGTCTCTGTAACTACTGTCCTCTCTCATTCGCCTGTTTTATTTGGGTGGATGAATACTGCAGAATTTTCCAGAGAAAGCTACAGTATACTGTGCACAGTTAGGCATTTTAGAAACCTTAACTATCTGAACATTCTTTCTATTCCTCTTGTTTACATTAATCTCTTGCCTTATCTCATTACTTTCTAATACCAGTCATCATACTTAACAATTATTTACCTATTTATTTGTAATTCTCCACTCCTCCACTCCACCCAGAGAGCAGGGATAGTGTACCACAATATAATACACAGGAACAGTGCATGATAGATAGGTGTTAAAAATAAGTGGACTAAATGAGGAAGTAACAGAAGTATGTAAATGAAACCAAGATTCAGATATTGTTCTCTAACCTTAAGATAAATCTGTTATTTATCAAACAGAAAACTATAAGTGCTGCAAGTTTAACTTAAAGAAAGGACAAATAGAGATGTTAATGCAGCTCAATGTGATTTTAATTTTCTTTGTATTTCACTGCTTTCATCAGATATGCCAAAATCATGAAAATTTCCCTCAAGAATGTTAGATGCTTTGGTGCTGTGAAAAAACAGAGGTGAGGTGCCCTTTCTAATAATCTACTAAGCCTTCAGACATCACATTCTGTAAATGTCAGCACACACTACCCTACAGGGAGGACAGTATGATTTAAATAGAGATGACTTAACTCTAGAACATTTCTGGTTGTTCCTCTGCTTCCGAGAATTCTATAAATGAAATGAATTTCAGAAATGAAATTACAGGTGAGGTAGACAGACAACATCTCTTATCTACTTATGTGCTTTTATTCTTCTCTAAAATAACAATATTTGTATTCTCTTCTTTGCAAAATATATTCTCTTTCCCCATTTATTATACTGAAACCAAATCACTGCTGCTATGTAATTTGGGCTATGTTTGCTGACAGAAAAACAATGTACTTGTATTATATACAATAATTAAGGAGCAAAATCTATACTTACCTTGTAGGTAGATAAAATGAAAAGGCAGCATGAAGAATGCTTATATTATACCCACATTAAATGACACAAATTCTTAATAGATTTTTAGCAAGAACTTCACTTACTAAGGCTTTTTAAATCAAAATTACACAGTTTAAAGGGCTGGCTAGCATAATTTTACCACATTTCAGTCCCCTTTTGTCACTATTTCTTTTTCAGGGACAAGAAACAAACTTTTTTTTGCTTAATGGTTAACTTTCCTATCTCTAATGTACTACTACTTCCATTTGTTAATTTTAGGTATTTCTGATCAACTTTCCAGTATGAAAAATGAAGCATGTTTTCTTGCAACTCCCCACATTCCATCTTCCCAATCTAATTTAGTTATATATATATGTGTGTGTGTGTGCATGCACACACGTGTTCTGATAAAACATTATTTTCCTTGGTTATTTCTATATCATGCATCTGGCAGTATTTGCCAGCTACCGGTAAGATACATAAAAAAGATGTTAACAGACTGGAAAGTAATTAAGGCTATCTTTAAGATCATACATATTTTTTAAAAGGACTAGTTAATGGAGGTGAGTTTTCGATAAACAGAGCAAGAGCAAAAATTCCTGCTTATTTCTGGGCTTTCAGTTTCTGGTAAATCTATTTTTTCAAAAAATAAAATGTTTGAAAATCCAATGTAGAAGCATTCTTTCACTGTTTCAGTTTCATTCCACATGACTCAATAAAAACACCAGCTTAGTGAGAAAGTACATGTTGACGTGATGCATACAGAAACTATAAAATATCCATCTACTATAAAAGTATGTATCAGAACACTTAAAAATAGAATTAAAAGAACTTAATACTTAAATTTTTAGAAAGAGTTATCTATTTCCAAAGTAGAGTTACAGATAGGGAGATAAAGGGGAAGAGAGAGGGGAAAATTTTCTATCCAATGGTTCACTCCAAGAGGGCTCCAATGGCCAGGAATGAGACAAGCTGAGGCCAGGAGCAGGGGGCTTCCTTCAGGTTTCCTATGTGGGTGTCAGAGGCCCAAGCGCTTGGGCCATCTGCCATTGCTGTCCCAGCCCATCAATTTGGAGCTGGATCACAAGTGGAGCAGCTGAGACTTAAGTCTGTGCCCATTTCCCTGCACCCACCCTGGAGTGTGGATCTCTTTTCAAACCTGTTTCAGCAAAACTGCAAATTGTTAACTATTACAGATCTCAGGGTTGTTCAATATAGAGAAATACCACGTTCTGGATCTTTGAAAGTCATGCATTTAATTCCTTGTGTTCATTTCAAAATATTCATGGAAAACATATTATGTAAAAGTTAGGCATTAAAACTATACATTGCTTTAAAACTACTTTGTACCTAAACAAGCTTTTCTTTATTTCATGAATTTTAAAATTATTTATTTGAAAGGCAGAGCAAGATACAGAGTAAAATTAAAAATGAGAGAATTAGAGGAAGAAGCAATTTTTCATCTGCTACTTTATTCTGTGAATGCCTGTAACAGCGCTGTGCCAGGCTGAACCAAGACCTTGAACTATATTCTCCCACTTGGGTGACAAGGGACCAAGTATTTCCACCATCATCCATTAAATCCAATGGGTAGAAAGTTGGATTGGAAGTGAAGGTAGACACTTGCTTTGGGATGTTGGAGTCCCAAGTACCAACTTAATCTGTTATGACTCAACACCCACAATTCCCTGTATTTCCCTTAACTACTAAGTATTCTTTAAATGCAAATTTTATACTCAACAAATATCATGGAAAATTGTAATACACAGTACAATTTTAAATGTCAATACTTAAAATGTAAGACAAATATTTTAGTAAAATTATATAAACCAATCACAAAGAATAAAGTCAGAAGTGACAGTTAAAATCACCACCAAAATAAAGATGCTTCTGTGTGAAATTTCTTTTAAAAATATTATGTAAAATAATTTTTCTATAACTTCTCTAGTTCAAAGATGAACTATCAGAGTACCCTGAATATGGTGGGAATCAACAGTGTTCAGTTTCAGATGTGATTAGCAATAATAAGTGGTACAATGGGCCACAATTCAGGAATGTTTGAAAAATAATGTCCTAAGGTTAACCACTTTATACTCTGGGTTTTGTTGAGGTAATTTTGGGAGAATGTTAAAATTTTGCATTTATATTAAATTTTTAAACATTGCAGATTTACATTAGCATTTACACACCAAATGATGTGGAGGAAGTCTAAATGTGTAGTCTACCTTCCCTATCACAAATTCCCTTCTATAAGCTTATCCCAAATTCACTTTACCAAATAAACCACAAGGTTGGATTTGCAGTAATAATTAGGGCTTGCTTACTTCATGGGACAGTTGTAAAGGGGAGTTTTCAATACATATCCAGTACTATCTTATTGGAAAATCCAAGATTCCTGTAGCTAAATTCTCTCAAGGTTCAACCACTTCCATTAACATGGCATTTTCTTTATTCATTTTATCACTAGTTTTTCTCTGTGATTGGCTCATCCTTCCCCTGGCAAGTTCCGTGACCTCATATGGGTGCAGTTTTGTGTCCCAGCTGCTCCATTTCCCATCCAGCTTCCTGCTTGTGGTCTGAGAAAGCAGCAGAGGATGGTTCAAAGCTTTGGGACCCTGTACCCACATGAGACCTGAAGGAGGCTCCTGGCTTCGAACTGGCTCAGCTCTGGCCATTGTGTCCATTTGGGGAGTGAACCAGTGGATGGAGACCTCTGTCTCTTCTCCACTCTCCCTGAAATGCTTCCTTTCAAATAAAAATACATCTTTAAAAAAAACCTACATTTTATATGCTATAAATATATTCTCCTGAAAAAGTTTTGTTATTTTGGGGGATTTTATAAAGGAAAGAATCTTAATTGGCTAGATTTTTTTCTACTCAATCAAAAAATTATTTATAACATAACTATAATGAAATTTCAAGGCCATTTCTAATGTAAGAATATTAAAGTCAATACTAAAGTTAGCTACCTTTAGTGTTAATAGTCAACTATTAAATAATATACGATAGAAATATTATGTCTTAATATAGAAATTAATTAGGAAGCAATGTAGTAAATTCTAAATAATATCATAAGATATAATCATATTTACTGGTTTTTAACACTGAAGAAAACACCCTGGAATGCCTAAAAATTTAGACAACTAAAAATGAATTCCCAGGTTTTTGACATTTAAAGGAAAACCTGAAAGGATCTTAATGAATCAAGTCAGTTCATGGTTTATGTCTAGGACTTACCAAGTTCTGCTAAATTTCCAAATGCAACAAGACACATCTCTGTAAGAGCTGCATTTTGGCAATGGATGCCCAGTAATTTCACTAAGGTAGGAATCACACCCATATTGATAAGCTGAGCTTGAAGGGAATCTGTTAAGGAAAACAAAACCAAAGGTGTTCAAGTTGAAATGAGTATTAGCAAGGAAAAAGTCTTTAGCTCTGTCACAAGCTCAGTGCTACTTAAATTACAGCAAAGAAAAATGATGCCCATTGTCGTGATTCTCTGGAACACTCAAGACAGAGTGCTTTGGAAGAGCTGAGTTCTGAACCTTTAATTGAAAGATTTGTAAAAATGCAATTGGATTCATAAAATACATCGAAACATAGTTTTTGTTTTTCTTTTCCTGAAGGTCAGAGTTTGAAGCTATATAAATAACATTACCACTGATTTTTAACATAGATTATATAATATATACATGACAGGAAATGAGAGAATATATGAAAAGCTCAGAAAAAAGAGGTATAATAAAGATCAACAAAGGAAATTAACTCAGAGATCTATAAAAAGTTTCTTCACAATAAACATTAAGATTCACTCTAGGAAGGAATGTAGTTTTAACAAGGAAAACAGGGCTAACTAAAGTATTTTATTTAAAAAAAAAAAGTGAGTTCAAGAGGTAATGAATGAGGTCAACCTAATCATATGCCACGTTTTGACTTCATTTTCTAAGCAACTAAGTGGCTTTACTTAAGGCATGAAACCTGCTTTGGATTTCTACAATGGTTCCACAGGCAACTACAATACAATTTCAGCAGCAAGGCTGAAGGTGAAGTGAAAACTTAAACTACTGCCTCTGGCAGCAAGCTGGGACACACAACTTCACATTTATGAGCGGTGCTACACGGTCACTAATGATTCAATAGGACAGAGGAGTGTTTTACATTCTGTGTCTCCTTAAAACTATCTGGCATTTTCAAGTGAATACTTTTCTCCAAATACTTGGATGTTAGTTATTTGGTATGCAAAGAACTCTGTTTTTGACCTCATAGTACAAATCTCTGACAGGGTTGGTCTGTAAAGTTTTTAACCTGTAGATAAGGAAGTGGGTGGATTATGAGCCGTGACTTGTTTGGTGGTCTTTGTTAATTCCTGCTTTTAGAGTAAGGTAGGAGAAAGCCAACAAAGGCTTATTGCCGCAGGAAACTGATGGGTGAGTGAGTTTTTAGGGATAATCATCTGGTTTGCTTGCGGAGGGGGATGATCTATGCACTAGAAAAGGCCATATTATCAAAACAATAGAAAATAAACCTAAGAGGGAAGGTTAGACTGCAAAAAGTCTGAAACAACTTCAAATCAGCAATGGAAATATGAAATTTATTCAAAGAGGAAATACAAATACATGAATGTAGTGTATTTAACCAAATGATTTGCTTTTATACTTTTCATAGTACATATTTTTTTCTGAATACAGAATTCAGCAGTAATGAACAAACTTCAACATAAATTTTAAGAGGCAAAATACTTAAATAGTGTGAAACCTATATGTTATTATGGCAGAGTACTTGCATTATGCTTACAGATAAAGACCATGCACTGAGGAGTTTCTAAGTTAAAAATCACATCATCACTTACCAGGAAGCACAGTGTGCAAGTCACCTCTGCATATCCTTGTTCTTTAAGAATTGGTTTAATTATTTATTTTGACTATCTTGTCAAATACTGCAGAGCTGCACAATCATTAAGTCTCAGGTACGTAAGCGTGGGCACTAGCGCATGCATTGAGTGTGAGTCAAATTCCACTATATGTCTGCATACTCGTAAGCATCACACACCCCCTCAGTACTGCTGGTAGAACTACAAGAATCCAACAGCACAGGGATATCAGGAGTAACACACTTGATCATGGAGATGATTCCACATGAGAATGCCACTAGAAGATGAGACATTCTTCACATTCTTCTAACTTGGCATCTCTGGCACTGATTTGGACCTCTTTTACAATGCTGTAAATTTTGGTTCCAAGGAAAAGAGGGCCAAGAATTTAAGAAATGTTGCAGAGCTTAATAACAGTATTTGTAATATTTGAAACTGTGGCAGATCAGGAGAAGCTGCATAGCCAAATAGTGCATTATGTGAACTGCCATAATTCATGAAAATCACATTGCTTTGTGGAAATATTTTCAAACAACGCAAGAGCCCAATTAATCACTCACATATAACAACACATATATCACACACAAGAAGAGAGACTTAATCATTCAACTAGACAGACTTATTCTGGACCATGTGGCTTCCTTTCTTTACATCCATTTCTGTGATGCTAACTAAAGCAAAAATCAAAGTGAACTAACTTCAAAATATATCCATTCTGCAGGCAAGTCACTCTCCTCAGCGAGTGAAGGCCCAAGAAACATGTGACTTTTCTTATTTAAGCAGGTTGCTAAACAACTTCATTTTATGATGCAGATGCCCTAGATATGGTTCTCAAATTGGGGTCCCTGAAATCCTTTCAGAGGATCACAAAGTCAAAATTCTTTTGATAAAAACATCAAGGTGTCACTTTTTTTCACTGACACTGCAAAAATAAAGCTCCTGCCACTTAAGCAAAACCTCAAAAGGGCACTGAACTGCATTAGTAGCCACTGTATTGAAGATCACATAATCCTAATAAAATGTGAATTTTCAATGTTTTCCATCTTTTAAATTTTGATGAAAATGTTATTTAGGTTAATAACTGGTTTCTTTTAAATCAATTTTTCCATTTAAATTTTCTAATACAGAAAATATCAATAGATGTAACTGATTTGCATAAAAATGTCTGAGATCTTTAATACTTTTTAGATGTCTAAAAGAGTCCGAAGACCATAAGTATAGGCTCCAATGTCAAAGGATTACCTAATTTTCATTACAGATGAGGGGTAGGAGAATGAAGAAAACATGGAGAAGACATTCTGTGATAGCAATGATGTAATAACCAAACAAAAGGAAATGAAAACTGAAATCATGAAGGAATCCTAGATTTTGGTACTCAGATATTTTCAGAGACATGACCTTAAACTAAGTATCTGGACATATCTTCCTCATTTATGGGTGGGGATGGGGTCAGGGGCGCACTGAGGACTATGGATTCTGTCTGTATGGCTTAAACTCATATGTAGTAAATGATATCAGGAATGACTTTAAAGTGAAAGACTAACAAGATTAGATCAAGAATAATTCACATTTTCCAAATAAAATACATAAGGAAGTTACTGGAACAACTCTTGACTCCTTTCTGCAAAAGGCTATGACTTTTGTATCTCATGGAGTACCACAAGCCTCAGGGCAAAGTTCATCAGGATTCCACAAAAAGCAACTCATAAAAATGCAACCCAGGCCATACACAGCAGACAGGTGTGGAAGACAGTCTCTAGACAGCACATCATAAATGTCACAAACGTCTCAAGATGTTCTGATAATTGTTCCTGACACACATCATGGACCAAAATACAAAATTTACAAAATTACATAGTACCAGGATGACACAAGCCCTACGAGATCTATGGGAGGAAGCGGAAGAAAGAAACTGAGGGGGTGCAAAACAGATGCATATACAAATAGATATAAGGCAATCAACACATGCGCTGGTGTGAACACTTACCTACCTACATTTGAATTTCAATGGTTCCAAGTTCTTCAGGTCACACTCATGGGAACTCCAAAGAATGGAGATCTGGAGAGAAGATCTCAAGTTGAGGAACCTTTTCCCCCTGAGTTTTAAATTTAATGTTTAAAACATTGGTATAGACTAGATTATAGGTCCAGAAAAGTATCCTCAGATTCCTAGTAACTCAACTGAATGTATGTTGACTCATCACTAAAAGTAAGTTTTTAAAGATTATAACCTGTTTATCTTCTTCCTAGAGCCTTTACAGACAATATTATAAGATTACTAAATTTACTGGTTACTAAGACTATGGATGAAGTTGTGTTAAAATAAGATACAATTCAACATACAATTTCTATATTAGGCTGTATATATAACATATATATCATTCATAATATAAAGATACAATATCAGTATTATAGATTGTATTGAAAAATCTCATCTACAGCCAAATGGATTAAAACTTGGTAAAAAGTTATGAATTGGTTAAAAACCATTTGGGCATAACAAAGACATAATAGAGACTTAATGAAAACATGTTTTCAAAAATGGAAAGGATATGAGAGTTAAAAGTTAGAAATGACATAAAGTGAAACAGGGCTTTGCAGTTTATGTAGGTTTTAGTTCTATTGTAACAGTGAAAAGGAAAGTGACTTAAAGACTATGAGTATGATTAGTAAAAACTCCATAAACGGCAATATACAGGGGAAAGGTATTTTAAATTTATTTTGTATCACTTTGTTAATCAGTAGAGAGCTTTATTCTAAACCTGGTGTTGAGGATGAAAATCTAGGTTATTTACTTTTGTTTCTAAGTGCATGTCATGATTTAAAAACCCTTTTATAAAATATGCAGATGTGTTTTCACCCAGTTTACTCTTTTATGCACCAAGTTATATATATTTTAGTGGCACATAAAAATTTCCAAAGAGGGAAAACCAAGTGAAATGAAATTAGTGGTATTCAGAATACTAGTGTCTTAGGCAATTTATATATTTATTGTTATGTAAAAGTTATAAGTAATTCAGAGCATGGTGTCTAACGGCTAAGACAGCTGTTAGGATACAGGCAAACCATATTAGGAATATTTGGGTTCAATACTGGAGATTCAGCTTCCTATTAGTTGAGATTTCTAAGAGGCAGGGGTAATGGTTCTAGTCACTGGGTCTGTGACACGCACATGAAGAGTCCCAGTTCAAGTTCCCAGTTCCGGACTTTAGCCCCAGGTCTGTCATTTTGCTACCTGGGGACATGTGGAGCATGAACCAATGCACAGGATGTCTGTGTCTTTATGCTTCTAAGATAAATTTATTTAAAAATTTATAAATAAAACTAGAAATTTCTTTCTGGGTTCCAAAAAGAAATCTCAATGTAACGACATTTCTCTGTCACAAAAGTTCAAAAATCAACAACAAAACTGTATAAGGGCAAAAATCAGAAAAGAAAAAGTATTTTACTATTCTTAAGAGGCTCTTACATTTATGAGTCTGAATTCAGTGGTGTC